TTAGCTAACTCAATAGTATAGTGAGTATGAATGATGTGATGGTAGGGGTGGGGTAGGATTTATATCATAGTGTGATCATGTGACTAAAGGTGATTGGATCCTAATATGGTGAAGGGAGCTAATTAGACAGGGATGGGGAGGTATCGCAATAAGAGGTGATTAGTGATAAATAATAAAATAAATAAATAATTAGATAAATAATTACCCCTTTACAGGGTTTATTGTTATAGATTTATGAGTATACATTAACCCCCAAAAAACTAAATATGTACATATATAACAAAGCCAAACAAGGATGATAAATGGAATGATATTATAATGTCCAATCGTTATCTATAGTAGGTCTTAATTTGTCACGTGGAGTACTCAAGTTATCCATCATTATATTTACAAAGTATACTATTAAAACATGACAAGTATGTTTCGTGTTACTTGTACAAGGAACCAATGGTTATATGAAAATAAATGGGGACTGGGAATATGTTGGTGCATTATTTAATAGCTGGTCATAACTGAAAAATTCTATATAGGACGCGTATGACGCCTAAGGTATAAAATGCATGTTGACATGCATAGAGGATTTGAATTAGGTATAGGAATTGAAAATATTGCTATTAGCCATCAAAACATATTAGGTACATGCATGTCCAAAAACATCAGGCTTTGTTTTAATAGTCCAACTGTATGTAATTAAAAAGGTTGACCAACTATGCAGCGATGACGAGTCTATTCGAGTGGTTTCATATAGATGTTATCGTAGGAAATGCCACAGTCAAGTAATGGTATGAAAAATTGGCTATTGACGTCAATGTTAATCCTTTTCAAGTGCCAACCAGGACGATTAATTCTTTATAGTATGTGGACAACAATGTCTGCTTGATGGTAAGATATCAACAGCTGGTATTATAAGTTGTTGTAAATATGGTTTTCAAAACTCGGTGTTTCTATTGCTTTAATATGACCAAATTATCCAGTATTTCCACGACCAATGACGAAACTCCAAAATCTGTGTCTCACCATATCGAACCCGCTGTCATAGTGGTGTTAGTATGGCGTTAAATTTTATTAGTGCTAATTATTTGATAGCTTAGAGTGCACTATGCGGTCCTTAATATTATGGTTGCGTTTGTAGGAAACCAAAGGGGGTTCTGGCCATAGAAGCTTGAGTGTTGGGTCTTTATCAATGAGATGCCAGTGTTTACGCAAGATAGATCCTATATGAGGGGTATTAGTGTTATAAGGCACAGAGAACGTTAGTATAGGTTTATTGCTATTAGGTTCATTATTTCGGCTCTGGTTAGTAGCATTACCATCAATGCGAATATTATTATTATCATCCTCCCCAATTAGTAGATTTGACTGAGTATATTGCAGAGCTTTATTAAAGGCATTATCAATTACATTGTTAGTATATCCCCTAGTAATTAGATTAACACGTAGGTCCTGAAGGTGTTCACTTAATCTGTTACGGTTAGTAATTAATCGTACGTATCTAAGGGCTTGACTATATATGATGCTAGTTTTGCAATTGTTGGGGTGAAAGGACCCGTTATGTAAAAGTAGAGCTTTGTCTGTTGGTTTAATAAGAAGGTCGGACTCCAGTTGGTTAAGGTTGTTAATGTAAATACTAGTATCAAGAAAATGGACTTTTTCATGGGAGTACTCAAATTCGAATTTAATAGTGGGATATTGCTAACTAAGGGTTTGAGGAAGTGGTCCGCATATTTCGATAATCTGACAGTGGGTCCATCACACCCAGAGATGATAGGTCTACCCGGGTTGCCAGCTTTATGAATTTTGGGTAGTAAGTATAGGGTGGGAGTTTTAGTAGGTGTAGGGGGCATTAGGAATTTACATGTTGTGTAATCAAATTGACCTAATTTATGATTATTTTGAACAAATTGTTGTATTCTAGTTATTAGTTCAGGGATGGGATTCATTAAAATATGGTTGTAATGGGTAGTGTTAGCAAGTTGTTTAGAGGCCTCGCGTAGGTAGTCATCTCTTGGCCAGATGACAATGGCCCCACCTTTATCTGCTGGTTTAACAATCAAGTTATCGTTTTTCTGCAAATCTTTTAGTGCAGATATTTCTTCTCTCGTATAGTTTTTATGTTTGTTAGTGGGGGTATTGGGGGTGCGAGAGTATTTCTTGATAAACTAGGGAAATAAACTCTAGGAGGTTCTCATTGTCAGGAAGCGGAGGTGTAAAGTCACTTTTTAATTTAAACGGATGGGAGGGAGTATCATTGTTATTAGATTCTTTGAAGAAATATCTTAAGTGCATCTTTCGTCGAAAGGTCTGATAGGACTTGTATACAATCTCCCTATTAGTTGGTTGTGGTGTGGGTATGAATTTAAGACCTTTAGATAAAATTTGAATGGTGGGTTGGTCTAGGGGTGTGTTGGATAAATTCACCACACTATCTTTGATACGTTTCATTTTAATTTCAGAGAGAATTGTACCTTTACTTTTAAATCGGTAATTATTATTATTCCTTTTAGTTTTCAAATATTTGCGCAATTTGGTTTTGGTTAGCTTGTTAGTTAGCGGGGCTTCATCTCGTTTTTCGTGTTTAGGTGATAGCTGGGGAGATGCATACGTGAGAGAAAATCCTCCAGGTTAGAACTAGTTACGTTAGTCAGGGTTGTGTTAATATTATTCCTCCTGTTAGTTGTGAAGGGGTTTGGGGTGGTAATATTAGGGCTGGACATATTCCTAGTGACGGTTGAACCAACACGTTGTGACCTCCCTATAGCCGGGGAAGCTAGAGGTATTGGCCGCGTATTATGCGAGGGGATGAGGAAACAACCCTAGAATTGATTCTCCTTGTAATGTTGGTATTAGAAGTGATTACTTTCGGTGTGCAGCTCATTAGTGGGGTTAATGTTCGGGTAGTTAAGATGGAATTATTACTGTTGCTATTAAGGTTAATAGAGCGAGATGGGATCTGGATTGGGGTGTTGTTAAAGGAGTTAGTTTTTGTTGAAGTATTAGATGGAGATGTAAAAGAGCTGCTATGGGACACGTTATTATGGCGTTTATTATACGGTTTGAACCTACGGAGGGTTTCACCTTTGTTAGTTTTATTACTCATATTATTAGTGACCAGTATAATGTTAGAGGCCGTTAGTTCATCTGGAGCGTTACTATATATATACTGGTGTGAATTATCTATATTGCTTAAAAGATTAGTTTTAGTCCTATTATGATTCTCAATTAGTATATCAAGAAGGGTATTAGATGTGTCAGTAAGGGCTTCATCCCATCGTTTGCGAAGGTCATGTGGTAATCTGACCCTGCATTCTACTTTAGGTATGAGGCCTGTTGGGGAGGTATTCATCTCTTTGTGCTGCTCAAGCTTATCCAGTAGGATATTAGTTTTTTGAAGATTAAATTTATGGTTATTAAGTGCCCTGAAGGTCCTATCTAAATTATCCGGAATACTGTTAATGATGTCTCTGATCCGGTTAGTGTCTAGGTTATTATTATTAAGAGCATTAGAAGGGGAATGTTTGTAGGTTATCTCCGGTGTTTTTTGTGTAAGGCCTTCCATTCCAGTCGAATCAGAGGAATTTTGCGTCTCATTGTTAGTGTAAGTGTTAGGGTTAATGTTGTCATCCTCTGGGCCAAGTAATTTGCGTTCCATTATGGGGTCAGTAACGTCAGTCTCCATGTCAGTATCGTCATCTTTCATTATTTCTGCCATTAGTTCTACAGTTATACTATCCTCTACCAATATTTGGGGATGGCTGATAGTAGCCTCATTCTCTATGGTATTAGTGGGTGGATTTACTTCGTGGGTTTTAGCTAGGGTATTGGCAAGTGTACAAGCATTAGTCTGGTTATTGGAGGCCTCAATACGTACGATTAATTACTAACCGTAACAGATTAAGTGAACACCTTCAGGACCTACGTGTTAATCTAATTACTAGGGGATATACTAACAATGTAATTGATAATGCCTTTAATAAAGCTCTGCAATATACTCAGTCAAATCTACTACTTGGGGAGGATGATAATAATAATATTCGCATTGATGGTAATGCTACTAACCAGAGCCGAAATAATGAACCTAATAGCAATAAACCTATACTAACGTTCTCTGTGCCTTATAACACTAATACCACTCATATAGGATCTATCTTGCGTAAACACTGGCATCTCATTGATAAAGACCCAACACTCAAGCTTCTATGGCCAGAACCCCCTTTGGTTTCCTACAAACGCAACCATAATATTAAGGACCGCATAGTGCACTCTAAGTTATCAAATAATTAGCACTAATGAAATTTAACGCCATACTAACACCACTATGACAGCGGGTTCGATATGGTGAGACACAGATTTTGGAGTTTCGTCATTGGTCGTGGAAATACTGGATAATTTGGTCATATTAAAGCAATAGAAACACCGAGTTTTGAAAACCATATTTACAACAACTTATAATACCAGCTGTTGATATCTTACCATCAAGCAGACATTGTTGTCCACATACTATAAAGAATTAATCGTCCTGGTTAGCACTTGAAAAGGATTAACATTGACGTCAATAGCCAATTTTTCATACCATTACTTGACTGTGGCATTTCCTACGATAACATCTATATGAAACCACTCGAATAGACTCGTCATCGCTGCATAGTTGGTCAACCTTTTTAATTACATACAGTTGGACTATTAAAACAGAGCCTGATGTTTTTGGACATGCATGTACCTAATATGTTTTGATGGCTAATAGCCATAGTTACAATTCCTATACCTAATTCAAATCCTCTATGCATGCATGTCAACATGCATTTTATACCTTAGGCGTCATACGCGTCCTATATAGAATTTTTCAGTTATGACCAGCTATTAAATAATGCACCAACATATTCCCAGTCCCCATTTATTTTCATATAACCATTGGTTCCTTGTACAAGTAACACGAAACATACTTGTCATGTTTTAATAGTATACTTTGTAAATATAATGATGGATAACTTGAGTACTCCACGTGACAAATTAAGACCTACTATAGATAACGATTGGACATATAATATCTTTCCAATTATCATCCTTGTTTGGCTTTGTTATATATGTACATATTTAGTTTTTTGGGGGTTAATGTATACTCATAAATCTATAACAATAAACCCTGTAAAGGGGTAATTATTTATCTAATTATTTATTTTATTATTCATCACTAATCACCTCTTATTGCGATACCTCCCCATCCCTGTCTAATTAGCTCCCTTCACCATATTAGGATGCAATCACCTTAGTCACATGATCACACTATGATATAAATCCTACCCCACCCCTACCATCACATCATTCATACTCACTATACTATTGAGTTAGCTAAAATTTAAAAGGACAGTATCATTACTAATTTCATCAAACTAAACAAAAGATGAACAGCAAGGTGCGTGGTGTTGGAATGTCGCGCAATAACAAGACATTTGGTAGAATAACCTTTCTTTTAACATATAGTAGTTTTTCATTTCTCACTATCTTTCCATCTTTCCTTTTTGTTACTGTGCCATTGCTTATCCTAACTCCTAACCTCTCCTTCATTCTCCTCTGCAAATTCTACCTGCACCCCTCTTAAAAAACCCTGCTGAAGAAGACTGTTAGGTCGAAACGCGTACAGGGTTGCCTTTCCTTTTCTCTCCTTTATCTCTCGTCTTATCGTTTCTAATTAACCAATTCACCCCTCCTCAGTTCCTATAATCGTTATTGCCATAATTCATCACGTATATGCAGTTCATTCTATTGAAGTTGAAGTAAATAACAATTAATTTGAATACTGGTCCTATAATTATTTAGGTTACACAATGTCTCACACCAGTACTTGTCCCATTACCTATTTACACCAAAAGAATGGCGTTACAAACAAACTAAGTCTTAACGTTGCTAAAACGAAATTTCTTTGAATTGGCTCACATCATATATTGAACAACCTTGGTTCTCAACCATCTGTTAACATTGGTCATGACAGTATTAAAGAAGTCCGACATGGTGGAGTTCTTGGCCTTGAAATTGAAGAAAATCTATCTTGGAATAAACAAATTGAAAATGTAGTTAAAAAGGTTACGTCTGAATTGGCGCCATGCAAAAAATCCGTGAATTTGTTGACAGAGAAACTCTGTCTTCTATTTATAATGCTTTAGTATGTCCTCATTTTGACTATTGTAGTGAGGTATCGGATACGCTTGGTGTGGGGCTCTCCAGCAGACTTCAAAACTGCAGAATCGAGCTGCAAGAATAATAATGAATTTCAGACACAACACTCCTGGTATAGAAGCGATAAACGCCTAAATTAGCCTCTTGAAAATGTCGAGCCAAATCTAAAGTTAAACAAATGTACAAAGTTCTAAATTATTTGGCTCCAAGTTCGCTCGCTACTCTTTTCGTACACAAAAGAAACATAACAGAATATGATCGTAGGGGCTCCCCTACTTCACTACAACTACCTCTGCCAAAAACTGAAACCCTTAAGAAAAGCTTCTGTTATGATGGAGCTAAACTGTGGACTCATTATTTGCAGATACGCGTGATTAACATACATTATCAACATTCATAAATGCAATTGACGCTTAGAATTTCTAATATAATGTTATTAATTTTGTACATAATTGTTTTGTCGTTATTTGTAAGGTTTGTAGTTTGGTGTGTGTAATATTTTGTTAAATAATATCATGTAATCTACACGCCTCTTGTGGAAATCAGCAAATTTTAAATAAAGTTTTACCTACCTACCTGCTTATAAAATGTAAGCTAGTATCTCGTGATGATGATTAAAATGTAGTCGAAAGCGTGAATATATTAAAACGTTTCTTTTCTGAGTTGTCGTTGTTTTTAATTGTTGTAAACATTGTGAGTGGATTTTTCAGAATCTCTCATTCTATAAGTAAAAATACAACAAAACCGTAAACTATGCCCGGCGGGATTCGAACCTACGACCTTTGGAATGCTAGCCCAATGCTCTTCCAACTGAGCTACGCGGTCAGGACGGTTCGAGTAAGTGATATTTCGGAACAGTATCTAGTTCCTTCAATACCAATGTGTTCT